GGATGGATGGATGGATGGATGGATGGATGGATGGATGGATGGATGGACGGACTGACGGGTGGATGGACAGATGGACACACCGTTGGGTTTCTCCTGGGTGGCCCAATGCAGCCAGGGTTGGGCTGCCTGACCTCACACTCCCAAATAAAGCCTCTTTGCAGTGATGTGTGCCTGGCACCACGCGTGGCCGTGGGTGCTGGGTGCGGGGCAGTGCTGAGCACCGGCACCTGGATGCTTCTCACCAGCCTGTGCCCCACATTCACCCGCAGACAGATCGCTGCCCGACAGCAGCAATGCAAGCACCGGTTCCGGCACCACCGCCATGGGGGAATCCGGCGGCCCCCGAGGGGCTACACCAGGGGGTGGGGGCTGCGGAGCGCGACCACCTGGGGACAAAGGCGGCTCCTTTGGCGAATGCCAATCGCCTTTGTTCTACGGCAGCGCATGCTGCGGTCCGCGGGACTCCGGGACACCGCGCCCTCCCCCGGTACGGCCCCCCCGCGCACAGCCCCCGGTGGGCGTTGGCTCCTTTTTCCCCGGGACACGAAGCGGATCGTGATCCCACCCTAAGCGATGCTCGGGCGGGTCCGGGGGACACCCCATCGCCGTGCCGGCACCCAAGCCCCGATGCGGGGTCCCACACGCGTGTCCGAGTGGGCGGGTCCCCTCCCCTCCCCCACAATGGCTGCAGACACCCCTCCCCCACCTCGCGTCCCACTCCCCTCTCCGTGTGTCCCCCTGGCCGTGCCCGTGTCCCCGGGGATGCTCCAGCAGCGCGGTGCCGCCGGGTCGGCTCGGGCCGCTGCCGGGGCCGCGCGGTGCAGCGGGGTCGAACCCGGCAGGAGCGAATCGGACCGGGCCGGGTCGGGTCGGGACGGGCGGGGCTGGGCGGGGCGGCGGCGGCGCCGGTGCCGCAGGGGCAGTTGCAGCGCTGCGGCGGAGGCCGATGATTGGCGGCGGAGCGACGGTGACGTCAGCGCCCGGCCCGGTGCGGCGCGGGGCGGCTATAAAGGCGGCGGCGGCGGCGGAACCGCCCCCCGCGCTCCCGGTGCCGCTCCGCTCTCGGTGCCGCTCCGCTCCAGACCCGCTCCGGTCCGGCCGCACCATGAGGGAGATCGTCCACATCCAAGCGGGGCAATGCGGCAACCAGATCGGCGCCAAGGTAACGGCAGGGCGGACAAAGGTCCCCCCTCCCCCCCCTCCGCATCGCCTCCGTCCCCGCCGCACCGGGAGGACAAAGGGCCCCGCCCCGCTCCTTTGTCCGCCGCCGCCGCCCGCGGGTTCCGGCGCCGCCGTCGCCGTTCAGCACCGCGGACAGCGCCCGCCCTGCGGACGGAGCTGCGGCTGCGGGGTGGGGCTGCGCCCCCCCGGGATGCGGGACCCGCTGCGCCCCCCCGCCCGGTGCGGGATTCACACCCAGCCTGGGGTGGGGAACCCGGGTGCGGCTGCCCCCCCACCCCCCCCTCCTCCTATCCCGGCCTTGGGTTGCGGCTTTACCGGCGCGGGGGTACGGGGGGGGGGAGGGGGGACACCCGGTGATGCTGACCCCGTGCTCCCGCCCTCTCCCCCCCCCCAGTTCTGGGAGGTGATCAGCGATGAGCATGGCATAGACCCCAGCGGCAACTACGTGGGCGACTCGGACCTGCAGCTGGAGCGAATCAGCGTCTATTACAATGAGGCCTCCTGTAAGTAGCACACCCCCCCTCCGCATGGACCCCACCACCTCATGTCCCCACACTCCCTCCCGTGGCCATGGTCCACGCTGGGACAGACGCCTGTCCTCAGTCCTATGGGAACCGATGGTTTTGAGAGCGGGGGGGAATGCACCCAGCCCCATGGGG